CCCGGCCTATATTTGTGTTTTAACCTAAGTGTTATTACAATAGCGTCAGAATGTTTTAAAAAATTAAAAAGCTTATAAAGTAAAAAAGTTATAGTAAGCTAAGGTTTATTGATTATTGAAGAAAGAAAAGCAACTTCTAAAAAATAAATTTAGTGTAGCCTAAGTGTACAGTGTTTATAAAGTATACAGTGGTGTATAGTAATGCCCTAGGCCTTTCCGTTCACTTATCACTCTCTCTGTGACTCAACCAGAGCAACTTCCAGTCCTGCTAGCTCCATTCATGGTAAGTGCCCTGAATAGATGTACCACTTTTTGTCTTTTATACTGTATTTTTAGTGTACTTTTTTATGTTTAGATATATTTAGATACACAAATACTTACCATTGTGTTACACTGCCCACAGTATTCAATACAGTAACATACTGTACACGTTTGTAGCCTAGGAGCAATAGGCTATCCCATCATAGCCTAGATGTGTAGTAGGCTCTACCGTCTAGTTTTGTGTAAGTATACTCTGATGTTCGTACAATGATGAAATTGCCTCACAGCACATTTCTCGGGATGTACAACTGTTGTTAAGCAACACATGATTGTATATGTACTTTATATATACGAAAAAGTGAAGCCACCCTTAATCCTCCGTCTGGAGATAATCACTGTCAATCATTTGTTTTGCATCTCTTAGACTAATTTTCTACATATATGAATGGGAAAAAAACTGGCTGGAAGTGGTAGCTCACGCCTGTAGTCCTAGCACTCTGGGAGACAGGTAGGAGAATTGCTTCAGGTCAGGAGTTTGAGACCAGCCTAAGCAAGAGCGAGACCCTATCTCTACTAAAAATAGAAAAATTAGCCAGGCATTGTGGCGCACACCTGTAGTCCTAGCTACTCGGGAGGCTGAGGTAGGAAGAACACTTGAGCCCAGGAGTTTGAGGTTGCAGTGAGCTATGATGATGCCGCTGCACTCTACCTGGGGCAACAGAGCTAGACTCTGTGTCAAAAAAAAAAAAAGGGAAAAAAACCTAAACACAGTGATACATAACCTCCTTTTTGTACTTAACACATGTCTTTTTATGTCAACAAATATCAACTTACACCGCCAGTTTTAATGATTGCATAGTATTTCTTTACATTGATGTGATGATAGCTAATAGTTGAACCTTTAATATGAGCTTGACATCGTTTTAAGTGCATTGCGTGGATTATCTTATCTATTCTAGGTGGTTGGTTCTGAGAGGCAGTTTTGTAGAGTGGTTAAGAACGGACTAGGACATCCACCGGATTGGATCCCAGCTATACCACTGAATAGCTGAGTGACTTTAGACAAATTTCTTATCCTCTCTGTGACTTCGTTTTCTCTTGTGTAAATGGGAACAATAAAAGTATTTTCTTCATATAAGAAGATTAAATAATGTATATACTAAAGATTAACATAGGC